TGACAAAGGGACGCCCTTTTGACTGCCGGACGCATAGATATGAGAAAAGAGCGCAGCGTTTTGCGGATCGTACGTTAAGTTTTGAAAAATGTCCATTGAGATATGAAACAGGGCTTTAGCAATTGGAAAAAACTGTAAAACTGTAAAAGAAATTCGAACGAGATGAATGGGGCGAGCCACGAACCGTCTTAACGGTGGTGTAGGAGTTGAACGCGAACACTGAACTGCTCCTTCATTCTCCCTTGTCCGCATCCACCGTCACACGTAAATTATATTTGCGCCGAACCCTGCAACTGAAGGATGAGGGGTTGGATGGAAATAACTCACCCTTTTGCAGCTTCCTTGAAAATTTTATTTCCTTCTTGACTTTACATTCCGAGTAATTTTCTGTTTGGGGACATATGAATTCTTCCATTATAACCAAAATTTATGTACATCTGATCTCGTTATATCAGACTTTTTCTTTATGGGGTGTCTACGGACGTTTAACCAGCAACCTAAGGATTTTGGTATAACCGGTTTTTCGTTATATCCGTGTTCATAATACCAGGAAACAGAACTGCACCCCCTCTATTTGAGAGGGATGTATTTCCCAAGAGCTGAATCTTCACTTACAATGTTGAGATTGCCATTTGAAGTAGGTTTCTATTCGTGAGGCTGTCTAATGTTCAGGTAAGGGAAGCTGTTTTCAGAGTTGGCTTCTGAATATTCAATCATAAGCATAAATAGGTCATGAACCTTAATGAACATGTTCATTTTTATTTCATAATTTTAATCTTTACTGTAAAGTATTTTACTCAGTCTGGTTGCTCACTCATGGAGCAACCCAACACCAACTGATTCATCAACCAATCCTGCAATGAAATTTGGCACTTTTAAACTGTTTTAGCTCAAAATCCCAAGTATTGCAAGCTGGGATGTACATAAACTGATTCCACTGATCACTTGATTTAACAGCTCTGACAATAGGCTTAGTGTAAAGATTTCAGTTTTGAAAGCATAGCATCTTGGTAAAGAATGTGGAAAAGTTTTACAGCTTGCTGAGGAGAACCCATCCCATATTGCACAGATGGGATGGAAAATAAAAATAAAATACCATGTGGAGAGAACTTGTTCATGTCTAACATGTATGTTTTTTCACTGTGTGGCATGCATTGAGTGAACCCAATTCTAGAACACTGTTGACAGTTGGCTTACTCACAGAGGTGAAAGAATAAATAAAAAATGGTGCAGGCTGTAGTTATCTATTTCATTTTCTCATTATGATAATAGGGCTTAGAACTTGCAGGCAGAGGTGATGAAAAAACTTTCAAAATACAATATGTATTTAAAAAAATGCTGCCTGAAATAAGAGATAAAACAACATAGATGTTGATGAAAGGAGAGCGAGGAGTGATCACAACTTGAGAGATGACATGGGAGAAGACATAGGAAGAGAGGTAGGAGGAGGAGAGATCTCCACATCTTCCAATTGATTGGTCTTCATCTCATGAAGAGTATGCATCATGTTGCTCCAATCATCTGCCTTTGGGACAGCCAGCACCTGTAGTATCAAGAGGAGAATCAACTCAGGAAACTTTGCCAAGCATTGAAAAAATACTGAACCAGCATATTTTCTAAGCTACCCTTTGTGGTCCACTGGCAGACCTAGTCTGACAATCTCTATAACGTTACAAATAAAATGGACCAGAAAGAGTTGAGATGAAATTTGTTCACTGTATGTAAGCCCTATCATATGCCATGCCCAATCTATCAGCAAGAGAATTTACCTCCAAGCCCCATCAGACAGGAGCAACTGGCCAAAATATTTCTAAGGAGGCTATTTGAGCTTGGAAACTGGAAACTCTCTTGTCCTACAACAGTAGGATGAGAAAGTTTCATGATCTTCATAGAACAACTGCAATGTATACAATGCATCAGTATTTGACCAGTAATATGAGAAATCCCCATTAGGCATTACCATTCCAAGTAACCTCAGACCATTTTTGGATAATTTTGCCTACTCCTAGCAGTCTACAGATGACCATATGATTGTGCATCATTAATGCCTTCAATTCTGAAAAGAGTCTGTGCCCCTTTAACTTAGTTATGCATAGTGATTTTTCTTGCCATATTTCTGAGCAAGAGCAGGACTTACCTCACTCAGGTCATAGACCCAAATACGACCATTTTCATCCCCGACACATATGTGTTGACCAGACTGTGTCCATGACACACGATTCAGAGCAACACCTTCCTCCACAACCACTGATGCAGTTGGGACCTAAGAAAAAATTGAAATAAACCAATTACAGGAACAGCAAAGTAAGACCAACCACTTCAGGTTGCTGTTTCTGTTTTAATCAAATCTCACTAAACCTGGTGGGATTTTTGATTGCCTTCTTACAGTTATACATTGAAAAGTTGGTCAAAATCTTATTATTAAAATATTAAGGTGAGGCCATAGTCACAATGACAGGATCAACGTCCTAGAGAGCAGGATTAGCATTGTTTATGAAGAGGAATCTTATGATTCATAGAGATTGACAATATTAGGGAAGAAATGCTACAAATTTTCATGCCATTAAAAATGAATGAGAATGAACTCTTGAGGGGAGAACAGGAGATGAAGCAAGCATGGTCAGGAGGGTCCTTGTCATATTTGACCCTTTCCACACACAGGTGGGTACATTTCTCCTCACCTGATTTGCCTCCCTCCTGGAGAAGTGCAAAGGGATTATATAGACTTTCACCACTCTGAGAGGGGGGGAAAGATATTCAGGAAATGTGTTCGTAATGCCAGCATTCCCAAATTCTTATCCCCCAGATAACAGCAGAGTGTATTTTGAAGAAACATCTGAATACAATGTTGTGGTGAATACAGATTGGCTTTTGATGAAAGGGCTTTTTATAATGAATGCAGAATAAAAATAGTATTATAGTATAGATAACAATTGGAATAACAACCCAATAGGCAAAATTATATGTTATACATTATTGACATGCATTACCTCTTAAATCTGACTGGCTCAAAATACAAGCCTGGACTTTGCTGTTCAAGATCTTCTAGTTCTTGGTTCTATCTGAGGGACAGGAACAATTTCAATCAGAATGGGCAAAGCCAGGATACTATTGACATTGGTTGACTAGAATCTCCATCAAGGGTAAACATCCCTGGTCCTGACATCCCCAATAGCAATTTGGGTCAGAATAATGAGTGCTAATAAGTCTTGCCCACTTTTTTTGTTGTTTATATAAACTCCAGAATTTCTTAAACTCTTAAAGATATTGGAAATGTATGTCCACCATTTTAGAGCTTATTCATTCCACTTTCAAATGCCATGAACCACATTAAAACATATGCAGTGAATGCAATATGGTGTATCATTGAAAACTGTCCAGTTTTTTTTGGCTCATCTGGTGATTAAGACATAAATGTGCAATTTGGAAGGTTCCTGCCAATATCATGGCTGAAATGATAATTTATTTGATAAGTTATTCATAGTTGCCAGCCCAGTAACAAGTCACTTACAGAATATTTCCTCGGTATTGGCTAATAAATACTTTACCACCATCTGTAATAAAAAGGGAGGGCATGATAATTTGATTGCTAGTGAGTTGTTCATCTCCATGTCTAGATAGTGTGCTGTGAGGACCTAGGGAGGTCCTAAAAACCCACCCTCAGGCAAGAGAGACATAAGCAGGGTAGGCTGGACCAGAGGCAAGAGGCTTTTTTGTAATACAATATGGACCAACTCCAGACTACAGAAGCTGACTTGGTGAGACACTAAGTCAATCCAAATGGCTCCCTACCCCCAAAGCATTAACTTCAACCTTCTTCCTCATAAGGCTTAATATTAATAGGACCTCTAGTATCCCTGAAACAAAATACCATACTATGGCCTCATGTGAATTATTAATAATTGCAGAAAACTGAAAATGAAACTTGGACAACTTCTCCAATGAAAGTCTGGGATGGTTTTGCACTGGGAATGTTGTGCATGATGGCATCTGGAATGATGCAGCACCAATAAAGGCTAATTTGATTCTGTGCTCAGTCATTTTTGTGCCATATCAACTATCTTCACATTGAATTCACTCTTGTCACAAAATATTGATCATAATTTTGATTCAAATTAATGGATTTAATGGGAAAAAGAGGCAGATGACAATGAGTTTAACTTTACATGAGGAAAAGCAAGCTAAGGATCAGAAGAAAGAGAAATGAATTTACCTCAATGTCAACATTCAGATTCCAGATATCCAAGCGACCATTCCCATCGACAGCTGCAAAAACAGATGGATGAATTGGGGACCATGCAACATCATAGATGTAATCACCATTATCTTCAAATGAATGCAGAGGTTTTCTTTCCTGTTAAAAAAAGACAAAACATCTGAATGATTATGGTTAAATTTCCTCAAAATGAAGTTGAGAAAAATTGGATAATTTAAGACTTTTGCACTCCAGAGTTTGACAGTCCAGTCAAAGGAGGAGGACAGGAAGAGATGAGAGAATTCAATGGGTCCATAAGCACGATGAGTGTCAATCCCAGTGACTGGTCCTCGATGACCCTCAAATGCTTCCAGTACTCCAGCCTTGTTCCCATGACGACATGCTACAAGTAGATTGGCAATTTCTCAAACTAGCTCAAACTGACCCAATATATGAAAGCAGAAAAAAGACTTACCATAATAGACGCAAGCATCCTCGGATCCGAGAACAAAGTTATTAGAGTCATTAGGAAGGAATGAGAGACATGTAGCAGGGACAGGTCTTTGCTTATACACCAGGTCTAAGGATTCTTGAGGAGCTGCCAGCATGTCCAGGCTCCAAGCACAGAGGCGACCAGCATTACTGGCACTGACCACAGCATGTGCATGTGCTGTCCCTACAACTGTCAGGCTGTATACTGGATGCTGCAAAAATGACAATATCATCAGGCTTCCAGTTCCTTGGGAGTCTTCAGGATGAAGAAAAGAGACACTTGCAGTGTGTGCCCCAGCCGATAGTGGACTCCTTTGAACTGGTGTTCGTTTATGGACTCTATTATCCCAAAGCACCAACTGTCCTGAATAAGTTCCTCCAAGGATCAAGTTAGGATGGAACCTGGAATGCATACATACAAGTACCACTAGTACTGTGCAATACTGTGTATATGAACAGCTAGGGGCCTTTTTCTTGCAAATGAAGAATACCCCCTCACTTGGCAAAGGAGACAGTCATGACTGGAGATTGACAGTGGAAGATGTACTCAGGAGTGTGTTTCTTGAAGCGAGTGTTCCACACAAGAGCCACACCATCTGGATCATGTGGACTGGCCACATTATTGTTGTAACTGGCAACCAGAAGCTCTGGATATTGTGGGCACCAATCCACAGAAGTGACCACTCGATTCCTTGACCACCGCTCATCTTCAAACCATCGGTTCAACACCAACCTCTGTCCACTCTTCTCTTCACTATAATAATTGGAAAATTATGTATTTTAGATCTAATGAGAGGAAGGATTTTAGGGATTTAGTTCAAGGGGAAGGTTAGTATAGCAACGAGAAATAAGCACCCATTGGCATCTGCATCTAAATCAGCTGAGTAATCAACAAGGATGTCTGAATCCTCATTCAAGGCACGTTCAATGCGACGAGTTGCTCGATCAAAGAATCCCAAAAACTCTTCAGTCATCATGAGTGTCTGCTTCTCTTCTTCACTCAGTTCTTGACCTACACGAGATGCAATCTGACATTTAGAGAAATGGAGAAAGAATTTAATAAAGGACAGAGAATGGGAGTTTTACGTTGAGGTTTTGCCTCTTGGTTCTTAGAAGTATCCTCGGCCTCAACTGAAGGTGGAAGAACAGCTTGGACCTGAGGCATCCCTGGATGGAGTACCCCAGGTGGGAGTTTGCTTTGGAATACAGGAGCACTATGAATGTGTGGTAGGGAATCCTCCTCTCCATCACCCAAATCGTCATAAGTCAAGACTGAAACATTCAACATCAAGTCATTCCTTGCATTGAGAACAGGAGACATGGACTTTTGGCATAATAATTAGTTATGGCAAAATTTTCCTTTATGCCAGGAGGCAATAAAGAGAGGAAGGGGAATACCCTATTTCTGTCTTGTATTTCATTACATGTGAAGCATCCTAAGTCTTTCTATCTATATTCCAACTGATATTCTTCTGAAGGTGCAGCCTGTCTTAAAATGTTAAAAACGAAATGCAAATGACTATGATTATACTTCAATGGAGACCAGATCCTTTGGTCAAGGACACAATGCCCCTTAAAATTGGCAACCATACCATACTACCAATCTATTTACCATACTGCTGTGAGCCATGGATTCCTTCATGTAATGAAATCACTAAGTTCTGCATGCCTCAGGACCCTCTTGGAAGTTAATCAGCACTGAGGTAGCAAGATAATGGCAACTGTTGCATTACAAACTTAGCAAGAAAAAATGGTGAGAAAATTGAAATGTGTTGGCTGTTTGCTGTAAGACTCTTACCTCCTCCGAATTCATCGTCCCACTCCAGAGCTGCATGAACTGGAAATCCCCCAACAGCAGAGAAAGTCAAATCAATTCATACTTTGAATCCACAACTCACATGCAAAATCAGAGTACAGAAAGTAGATCATGTGAAACCAAACCACACCAAGATAAGAAACGGCTCAATAGCTCCTCTCAATGCAGGATTTCTCTGTTCTGTCAGCTTGCAGGCCTCTATTGAGGAGCATTACATTGCTGACATTAAGATCCATCCAAAGAGAGTGAATGAACTTTCATAAGCCCTGAATATTCAACATTACAAGAAGCCCACATAAATACTAGCTTTGGACAGTCATTGTGATCTGGCCGTAACAAGGTTTTGACTTCAATGTATAATATGGTGAACTCACAATAGTAGTTTGATGTTGTGGATTCACTTTTGATTTGACTCTCCCTTAGCTCTGGGCTGAGGGGAGTATCCAGCCATTTCTTACCTTCTCTACTCCTCAGGCAAAATTACTAATGTCAGTTTTAAAAATTGATTAATACCCAGAAAAAAAAGGAAGAAAAAAAAAAAAGACTGCAGGTGACTCAGGTAACTTCAGGAAGCACTGCTGAGTATCATTGGACCAATATGGCCACCTCCAGATAAGGAATGATGTCATGTAGAGAAGACTTTGATCAGAACAAAATCTGAAAATTGCTTACAAGTCTAAACTCAAATCTAAGTTATCACCATCTATGCCTTGCCTAACAACATTTCCATGAGAATCAATATTTAAGAGACCTCAAAAATAATTGCAAAGCACAAATAAGAAGCTCAAGTTTTTTTTTTTCACATGAAGAGAAGTTTCCAACTGAAGACAATATTATTTTACTATTAAACCGATAATCATGCCTCTGTCACATTGGAGGGTCTAAATCAGATAAGAAACTAACCACCTAAACCACTGTAATATATGAGGGATTTCTCAAAAGTTCTGCCAGTAGCCCCAAAGAAATAAAAAATCTAGTGTTCCATGATTAAATTCTGATCTTTATTGCCACAGGCAACTATTTCACACCTTTTCCACATATTCCCCATTGATTTCAATGCATTTTTTTCATGCGATGGATCCAACGATCAAAGCACTGTTCAAAATTCTTCTTTTCAAGCCTTTTCAAGGTCCAGCACTTTGCGGCCGCCTCCTATGACGACTTGTGGGCTACTGGCAGAACTTTTGAGAAATTCCTCGTATATACAGTACGCAAGATAAAAAGCATGTGAGCTGACTTGATACACCCAAAGGAACATGTTACTGGAGGTGCAAGCAGTGCACTACCATACCTCAACCTAAAAAGCAAAACCTATGACAGGTCTGGGATTTTTATAGTGCTTAATTTCTTGTGCCAGACTTGAGTAAGCAGCAGCATGTTTTTGTAGTGAAAGAGTATTTCCAAACAAGGAGTGCTTCAGCATTGACTTTGGGATCATTTGGACTGTTTGAAATTACAATTTTAGCATTTATGAATGGTATACTGAGATTATTATTATTTTGCTATATGAAGTATTAGGGAACAATGTCCATGTCACAGCTCATGCAAGTGTTGAGCTATCAATGATTTCTTGTAATTCAATTTAATAATAATTTCACTTTAAGTTTAGTTCAGTTTCAGTTCATTTCCAATTAATGGGAGTTTCCTAAATTGAAGATAAACAAAAGTTTATTGAGTCCTTGTTTGCTGTTGATAAAACTGGAACTGAAATGACCTGTATCAAACTGAAAGTACAGGTATAGTGCACATATCAGAAAAAACCCACTTTTGGTATGCACACAACAGCAAAGGCAAGGTTAATCCTATAAAGCCTCATCTATTCCATTCATCAATAAGCTCTAGGTTAAGGGAAAGATGTGAGAAACTATCCCATGACATGTTTAACTCATTACATGCCTTCATTTTGTATCAAACACTCTAAATTATGTAAGCACAGCTGCACTCTTTTCCCAGACTGCATCTCATGTACCCAAATCTTGAAAATATTCCCATAAGTATGATTCGTATAGGATATTTATTGGGAGAGCCTACAATTTAGATGGTCCAGAATGACATGTGAAATACATCACCACATATCAGTTAAATTAGAGACCTCAACAGTCTGATTTTAATTAAAATCACAGGGATATTGAATTGCCAAACTGGCATTTCAGAACCACTTTTAACCATTTCTTTAAATATTTCACAGTTCTCTCAGTACATTACTTTAACCATTACCTGTTTTTGGTTGCTAACAAAAAACGTGGACTGGAACTGTTGAAGTTTTTCAGCCATAACTTTCTTCTGGAGAAAGATAGAAGCTTCATTCTAGTGTCACTTTATTCACACCATTGCTCTCTTCCTAATGGTACTGGAAAAATGTTTAATGCCTCAGGGAGGCACTTAAAAACATCTACTTAACCCAAGAGTTTAACTAACTTGATGATCAATCTTTCAAATCATTCAAAAATCTTCAGAAATGTAAAAACAAAAAAGCTTCAATATATTTCCAAACAATTTTGAAGTGATTACTATTTATGAATGATTTAAATACAATTTGAAAAAATACATAAATAGCATATGAATGAGTTAAAATAAATTAAAATAATATACCATTAAATTCTTGTATGAATTAAAATAACTTTGCTCTTGGGGGAAATTAAAAATAAACAAACAAGGGGGGATGAAATCAGACTTTCTGAGCAAGTTCATTAAATTTTAACAATTATATTTGAACTTGGGTGTAAATGGGTTAAAGATGGTCACTATTTTTGGTCCCTGGATTGCCAATACCTCTTTCAAGTACATCCATGAGCTTACATTTTTAAAAAGTAAAAATTCAAAGCCAATAACATCCTCAAACTCTTCAAAAAATGTTTTATTGTCTGAGTTTGATTCCAGGGAATTGGGGGGCAAGATGCACTGTTGATGGAGGATGAAACAAGCAACTGAGCTGTTGGTATTCCTTTCATCTCTAACTTTTCTCTTCCCCAAAGTATAATTCACAAACTGCCCTTTGGCCCCCCTTGGTCAAATAACTCTTCCCTCATCACCCTTTCACTGCAGAGCCAAGTCAGAGGTCTATTGCTTCCATCAATAATCTTTTTGGCACTTAGAGAAATGGTTTTTCTCCCAATAAATGCACTATAATCAACATTTGCACTAGGGAACTCTTAATTACCTGAAACCAGCACCACTTGAAGCCAGTTTTCACTTAACAGCCTGTCCAGTTGATTTCCAGTTCATACCTAATCACAAAGTTCATTCAACTCCTGTTTATCTCTAGTTTAGTCTGTTAAAGCCATCCACAGCTGGAATGAGGATAGTTTAAATCATGGTTGCCTGGGGATGAACAGAAACTGAAACTAAGTTGGTTTACTCAAATCACTGCACAGGAATTATGAGGGTAGTGCTTTTCAGTTAGTCCTTTGTGATTCAAGTGATTGAAATAATACACTCAATAGGAAGGCATTGTAGTACTACATACTCACCATAATAATCCACTCCACGACCTGGAAAATAAAAATTCCAATAAGTGAAAAAGGAAAGTCCATCAAACCAGCCAAAACATTTGAGCATCATAATAATGGATTCCTAACACACTTACGCTCATGAGAATCTCCAGTTGATGTAGTCTGGGTCTCTTTATCATATGACACATGCTCTTCAGGTGGGATGTGGGTTTCATTCACTTGAACAATCTTCAGCTCCACTTTTCTGATGCTAAGGTATAAGTAAATGTGTTTACACAAAATAATAACATAGTGGTGATTGGGATTTAAAAAAAAAAACTCAGACTTACGGAGGATGTGAAGGAAGAGAAGTGGCAGAAGTTGTTAAACTGGTATCAGGGGTATTTGATGCACTGCGATCTGAGCTGGTTGATATTGAAGTTACTGAGTCTCCATCACCTATGTAATGTGGCACCACAACATTCATATTTGCTAAAATTCTCAACATTTCTTTATTAGCACATGTGATCAAGGGAAAGGAAGCTTGCCAGTTGCTTTCTCACCTGTGCTGGGAATAGGAGGTAATCCCACATCTTGAATAAGTTTGTTGATGTCCATTTCCCCAGGTCTCTGGCTTCCAGCTGGTGGAACGCCCTGGTTTTTGATACCAAACGGTTATATATGAGCCACTACTTCTCAGAACTTAAATAACTTGAAGAGAAACTAAACTGTAAGTGTAACTTGAATGTAAAAAACCAGAACCACCATGGGAAAAAAGCCACTGACTAAAACCCAGCAACTAGTGAGGAACCTACACCACTGGCTAGGACATGAAAAAGAGGAATTCATAACTGACATATTAATCTCTTGGCAGAGCTCCTTTCAAGAAATGCTTTCCTGTAAATCATGGTATTGATACATTGATTATGTCACTTCACTAACTATTGGGACCAGTGCCCAACTTAATCCAACCAATACAGTGTATGCAAGTCTAAAAAACCAGAAACAACAAATGACTTTGAGTGATTTTCCATTTGCTCATGAAGAAGTAAAGTCTTATGTAAGGTAATGAGCAGTCCAATATCATTCAGCTTCACATCTATCAAGATGTAAGGATGTCAAAGCATTTGAAGATATTTCAAGTTGCAAGCTGACATGGTTGAAGCAATAACTATTGGTATTCTGGAAAATAAAAGGAGGGCATTTTGAGAATGGTATTACTCACATCTGCAAAAACTCATGTCCTTTTTACATAACATTATTACAATTACAGGTATTCAGACTGTGGATGATTGCATTATTTAGAATCAAGCCAGCCATGATCAACATATCCAGGATAGAATAAATATGCCACATTTGAGATTCAATTCAACATATGTGCACCCCCAGTACTATAAAGTCCTTCCTTCATATGAAGTTTTTTGTTGAAGATGTCTTGCAATGAATCTTGCACTGGTATCAGAAGGGCCTATACCTTAAATTAATTGATGACATCAAATAAGTCATATCTTGAATATACTAGCTGAGATACACTCCATGCCAAATCACTACATTTTGAGACAGTGAAGTACAACCTGTATGACACACTCATTGAGGTTTACAAAATGCACTTAGTTCAAGTTTAGTTACATGTTAACATTAGTTTCAGTTAACCCTTAGATTGCTGAGTTTTAAATGGATGGCTACACCCTCAGTGCTGAATTTAAGCATGTTCCCTGTCATAACTCTTTAAAAAAGGTCCTGGGCAAGGTTGATGGCAATGGGCAAAAAATGCACAAAAATGAGGCAAAGGCTGTCATACACTGAAACCATTTGGCACCTAGGGGCAAGAACTGCAATTACAAGCAGGTAGTAATTGTCCAGTACACTGGACAACTGCAACTAAGGGTTGGCTAAAATAGGAATGACAGGTAAATGCTGGTTCAGAATGACAGAACTGGATATAAATTAAATTGAAAAGTGATTTCACATGGCAAGATTAGATCCAGTCCCCAATTTCAGTTAAATTAAAGATAAAATGAAACTAAAACTATACTGATGTCGTGAAACCATTGCCAGAGTTAATCTAAAACAATGAAGTGTGGGATACTGGTTACTTTATATACACAAGTGCACTTTGTCTTATATTTTATCACTTTTAGTATAGGACAAAGAGCAGAAGGATATATATAAGCTGGCAGGATGCATGTACTACATGTGGAAAAAGCTATAAAATATCAGATATTTCATCCTGCATGTGAAATACATTCAGAAGGAAAGAGGTGTTATCAACCTGATGTCCTACCTAGTGGGAACTAGGAACCTACTGGGAACCAAGTGACATTCCAAAATGTCACTAGTTTCCCAGTTTGTATTCCTTTCCTATTCAGCCTTCTCTCACTTGGTTCTGCTCTTGTTCTTACTTTCTTTCACACTTCTCCCCTTCTTAGCCTATTTTAGATAATTTTGGTTCCCCATAATGTCTCCTTAATCAGTTGTTGCGCTGCATTTGGATTGAATTTGTACCCCTGCTGGAGAGTGGAAAATGGAGAAAACATCTGCTGCAACAGACAATCCGAAAAACCACCCTTGTGAAAGATTACTTGCAATCTATGGATCCTACATGGGGACACTAATTCAATCCAACAATTGCATACCTCAGCCCCCGGGCTACTTGAGTCAGGTAGGCTAATTGTTAAAGTCTAACTCTCCATGTAATGGTTGATCTAGGCATATGGGTCAAAAATTAGAGCTACTTTAACTATAACTCCAGCTAATGCATGTTAGGAAAGAAGGAAAATAATAAAAAAATGAACTCACAGCTTCAGCTGCTCTGGCAGTCTCTTGTTCCTGTTTCCTCCTCCTCCTGTCATCTCGGTCCCGTTGAAGAGCTGCTAGCCTTGCTTTCTTTTTCTCTAATTCAGCTTTTATATTACTGGACATTATAGCATTAGGCCAGGGGAAAGAAATGAATTTCTGTGGCAAGAAAAAGCAGAGATATAAGGCCTTGGCTTATAAAGATAAAGGACAAAGAGGGCTCTGAGGCTAGTTTACAACACTAGCTACTTTATCCCCTCATTATCCCTCTTCCAACAACCTTGCTGGTTAAAACTGAGTGGGAACAATACAGTTGAGAGTATAAAATTGATATTTAAATGTAGGTGTAAAGATGAATGCAAACTCCTGAGGTTTCCATTACACAACCACAAGACTTCAAACTTTCAGGAAAATTCAGGGTAAAACTGGATAACAAACAGCTTAAGCAGTGGTCATTCTCCTAGCAGGCCTCTACCATCTGGAGCAACAGTCCCCACACACCTATACAATACCCAAAGCTGTTAGATATTCTGTTATTAACAATATTTGCATCTTCAAGGCCAAATTCTCCATGTGACTTCTTAACCCTTGAAATCCCATGCCCAAGTATACTTGTGATTGCCTTTTGGGCTGTGTCATCCCCAGCCAAACTCTGGCCCAAGCCAGAGCATGCATGAAGCTTTGAAAACTTGGGAGTTAAAGGTTTAAGGGAACAAGCTGCCTTTTTATTTTTTCTTCTTGTGTCTCCCTTCCTAGGACCATCAACCCAAGGGTTGCACATTATAGTATATATTTATGCTGTCTGTCTATACGTAGTTTCTGTCATGAATGAAGGCTATAACAGTACATTACATAATATAATAAGTAGTTAAGACGAAATGAAGTGTTCCTGGCAGGTTTCTATTCAGTTTCAATTGAAATCTGACAAATTTAGTCAGCACAGGAGTCCATATTGAAAATCTCCTGCCTCAAAATATTCTAGGGTAGAAAATAACCTTAATTATCAACAGAGAACGCCAACTGCTACTTATCGACGGTGATTCTAGTTCATTCTTTCACTGATTTGCCAGAGGGGATCCCTTAGCCTTTTACCAAATATGATGGTCCACGACTGAAATCCAGTCATTATTGCTGAGGGACCTATAAAAGGAGATATGACCATCATTTCCTTCTGCACTAGCAGTTATTGAATTAAAAGCTATTAAAAGTCGGTGGTGACCGTTTCCTAGCAGTTAAGGGAACTAAGTTGGTATTCACACTCGCCTATTAAGCTCTTTTGATCGTCACAACTGACGCAGGTCGCTAAGGGTATATGGTGATTCGTATATTCGTACTACCTTTAATATGAATAGGGTGATCAGATTTTTTTTTCTGGGCAACAGGGGTATTTTCAAGAAAATGCCCAGATGTTAATCCTTGCAATGTGAAAAAACCGGGGCATCAGAATGGGAAGGAAATTTCAAACCGGGAAAAGCCTGAAAAACTGGGACATCTGGTCACTCTACCATAGGCCTAATATAATTTTTATCGAGGGAGATATAACCTCTCCTCCGTGGATGCATCGTACAAATAACATTTCGCTAAGTAAAAAAGGTGGTATGAATTTATTCGCAAATCACTGGACAGTGTACAGTAAAAGACGTGACGTCCCCACGGTGAACATGGCGGCGTATGTTAGCATGGCGCGTAGTACTGCTTAGAGAAAGACCTGGTCTTGTGTTTTCGCGAGTTTGGAGTTCAATAGATAGATTTAAAAAATATTAGAATTATGGTGTTTCCGATAAGTGAGAAGCGGATAAACCCATGTTTGGGATCTTTTCAGTCATTAAGCATTGGACTACTAATGCTCAGGCGTGTAGATCCGAGGTGGTGAAGGAGTAGGGGAGTGGTGACATAACGAACTATACCCCAAACGGGTTACAAGATCAGCCATGCAAAGATGGTGTTGTTTTTAAGAGGGACACTGTGAGAAAGTGTTCTTAAGCCATATCGTGTTCTAAACCGATATACAAGAATTTTGTGCTATAAACAGCATTATTTTAAACTTCTGGTTTAGATATATTTCAAAAACTTCCTTTTACAGGCCTGGCTTACAGGTCTGGAGATATAGATTCAAGTTTGGCATAATATGAAATTTAAAATTTACTGATGAGACAATGAAAAGGAAATATGGTCCTTGAAGATAAACCACCTAATTGGGATGAACTTTACTCTCAGCCACTTCCACTTCCCCAGTTCATCCGTTGAAGTAATACCAACTAGTTGAATTCACCAATGAATTTCTACCACCATTTCTACATGGGCTTCGTAGAGCTTGTTAAATATATTCCTAATTTACATTTTAACACGGGAGATACTATCTTTTCTCCTTGGATGCACCATGAAAATAGCATTACACTATCTAAAAGGTGGTACAAATTAAATTGCAAACTACTGTGCTGTTCAACAAGACTTGTAATAATTTATCATTATAGCCCCATATGACCCTGGCAACAGACAATAGGTGCAGTTATTTAGGCATATGGAAAAATTTTTGAGCTACTTTCATCCGTAGGAGGCATCTATTACCATTTCAGTCTTGAAAGTACTATGAATACTTCATTATTTAAAAAAACTGTAATATGGCACTATATATAAAGATTACTCTTCTGAATTCAATTTTCTAATTGTGAAAGTACCCTAACACTCTTACTCACAACATTGATGTCTTCATAATATAACATGCTTTCTTCTCTATCCTAAAATATAGAGCCCAGTGTACCCCTCTAAGTTAAAATGGCCAGGTATGCTCATATATGATGGCAAGCCGTATCAATGTGAGTACCCCCATGATGACTACAAATGAAGAGGACAAAGGAAAGGACATGGATGCAAATTATGCTTTGCAAGTGGCTTTGAGGCACATGAAGGAGAGGTGCCAGAAGCAGCAAGCTCGCATACAACTTCTTGAGGAAGAGAATCGAAAGCTGATTCAGCAAAAGAGTGATTTGTATGAAGAGATAGGGAAGCTACAGGAAAATAACATCAAACTGAGAGAGCGCAATCTCTCCCTGAATCATGAGATTCATTCAAAGCATCAAGAATGCTGCTCCATCAGGGAATCTCTTACCTCAATGACACAGGAGAAAGCAAAACTAGGTTTACAGATTCCAAAGCTTGAAGCTCAGATTGAAAGTCTACAAAAGATATTACGTACCAAGGATCAAACAGTCACCCCTCAGCTGAAGTCGAGTGTGAATGTCTTTCAAGCACCTTTCTCATCACATGATATTGGAACTCAAACAAAAGCTGTCGATGGACACATGAAAGCCCTCATCTCTGCAATGAAGTCTCTTCTCAACCGGGATTTTGCTACAAGTGAGAATACACTTATCCACCATCCTTCATATGACCTTATCAAGATCAGGGACATTGCCACCCCCCAACTCCCAGCCATGTTCATTCTTTGTTTAGCAATTTCAAAATCAAAATTGTTGCAGGCATCATTGAGAGACTGCTGGTTGAATGCAAGTAGTGAAGTATCTCCACTAGAAGACAAGAAGGAAAAAGTACAGCTTAAATTGCCTTGTTAAAATGCTTAGTTCTTTTGGGCCAGTCAGTATATACATTTTCTGTGAATGATGTCCTTGTTGGAAATGATTGATCATTCCAAGGAATGCCTTATACCATATGCCCTGATAGGTTTTGCTCTGTAAAGTCCATAGTGTGGGTAGGGAGGTGAAGGGCATTGCTAACCTCACTGACCAGTAGTGTGACCTTCTATTAGACCTACCCCTCCAGAGAGAAAGTTTTTGCTATGATCATGTCTATATACTGCCTTTGTGCTGCTATATTGCTCTCTTATTTCCTATTTCCACCAAGACATATAGCATCCTTGTGAAGCAATATATAGAAAGGGCAACTGCCACATCAGCCAACCCATTCTTGCATGCATTTTCCAATATTATTAGCTTGTCTTGGAACTCACTCATGCCTCTAAATCTCCCTTATTTTAATGCTTCCAAAACTGAAAAATATTCTAAATATGGCTGATCCCTCACTAATATTACTTCAGATGGAATGTTTGAATGATATATTCTCTCCTATTTCAGAGTGGAATGGGTTGCATCCAGCTATGGTCCCCTTTGAGAAAATGGTTCAGGTGAGTCAGCAACATATCTTCCCGACTCTGCATAAACAAAAGCTTTGCCTTTATCAATGGTTGAGGCAGCTGATTGGTAATTGAAATATGAGACACTAGAATGTGTCAATGAGAGTCCTTTGAGAACCTAAATTCATCTTCTCTGTACCTATCCTTTCACCCTGTGTGGAACTGTATATTTAAGAAAGTGGCGAGGAGTTGTGAAAATGGTTTTAAACCCTGTAATACCAAATTCCTATCTGCAGCATATTGGGATGGTTGGCCTGTCTAATATAGCAGGAAAATAAAAATTCTGCCTGCTACTGTATTGGCTTGATATAATAAAATGCTCATATTTCTTAATATTTAATTTTCTTCATAATTATGACATGAAAAAAAAGTAAAAAAAAAATGTTATACCAAACAGTATGAATTACATGGAAAATTACATCCCCAAAAACAAGAAAATAACTCTTATGGTTTTAAGAATAGTCCAAAAAGACAAGGAGCATTCAAGGGTTATGCCTTTCTTGAGAAGCATTACTTATTTATATTTCAATATTTCTCTTATGATGGAGATTAGATGAGTTTAGATAGATCACATCATAATTATAATGTGATTAATAAGGAAGGTAGTAAAGGTTCTACTAATATCTACTTATGCATGTTTGCACTTCCCTGGCCTCAGGAAATCATCATTGAAATATCAGGAAGAATACTCCTGAAGATTTAAAAATAAGATACTTCAGCAGCTTACCTATTTCCAGGTAGTTTTTAAAACTAGAACTACCAGGGCAGTCATTTTGACTGCTTGCTGACTTTTAATGCACTTTACTCTGCTCATTTGGTGACTAAGGGCCTCTGCAGTTTTTACTTTTCCTATCCAATATTGACATTTTGAACTTACCAAATAACATCTGGAAAAGACAAACAACACATTACAGAATAATAGTTTTTTATAATTTTAATATAGCAGTCAAATTGACCACTCTGGTAGTTCTAGTGTTAAATAAATTGCAACAACCTTATCTTTATTGTGATTTTTTCCAACACAAGGATGAGAAACAACATGAGGTTCAGGAAACGAATAACCCTAGGGGAGTATAGATAAATACTTGAATAGAGAAGTTTCTAACTTCTCTAGAACATGGTTAGATTTAGCATCAGTCACTCACTCACTCGGTCGCAATTGTCTATATATATTAGATGTTATTAATTTTCTCTGATTTTTAAGTACAGGTGTTTGAACCAAATTATTATCTCTGGCTAATTTTTTCCAAAAAATAAAAAAGGGTGTTGGTTTTTAGAACTTTAGTTGTGGAGATAGCATAGGAAGGAGTAATCATGAGTTATTGACCATTCAGTTAAAAATGTATCAATTGACCCATCAATATGGTAATTTACTGTCAATGAGGCTTACTTCTGTGTGGTTTCTTTTTCCACTGCTTTGCACTCCATTTAGATGTTATAGCTCACAGAGATTGACTTTGGCATGCAGGTTTCACTTCCAAAGTAACCAGTGATATTTAAAGATGAGGAGTGGATTGCATAAAACTGACTTTAGCGTTTAAAGTTTTAAAGCTCCATTACACTAAAGTCAGTTTTATGCAATCCACCCAAGGAAAACATCTCCCATACGGAAAAATCATATGATTTTATAATGAATGGACATATATGATGCATGGTCTATCATATATGATATTATATGAACATATATGGGAAAATATATCTGATATATTGCTATTGAAACAATGAGTAATGATCATATATGGCAAGGCCATATAAGAATTTTATAAGAAGCATGTATGTAAAAGATATGGTGGAGCAGATAAGAAACTTTTATGATTTAATATATTTATCTGTATATCTAGTATATGGTGAAGCATATATGTCACACCTGATAAGATACATGACCAAATCAGGTATGAAACATACATGAAATCATGACACTCTTGCAAGTCTCTCCAAAATGTCAAAAATTACTTCTGGAACTAAGTTGAGAATTGGCACTTCATTTATTACTTTTGTGAAAATACAAAAACCATTCACTAATTTACTGAAAATGAAACATGTTGGAATAAGTGAACAAAGATGTCCATATCAATTTCAAGTTGTACCATCGATCAGGATCTGTCAATTAGTACTTCCAATGAGGGAAGAAGAAAATGAAAGTAAAATCACAGCAGTTTCTTCACATCCCTGCCACTCAGAATTGGTTTAATGTGTACTTCATAATGGGAATCATGAGAATGGCCTGATTGTGTTTAAAGCCTCAGAGTGTGCCGTACTTGTTTTCAAGTCCTACAGTTCCATAAGCATACAGTGTATTAACATATACAGCCTTTCAAAACATGGTATAAGTAATTAAGTAATGTATGGCTTACTTCATAAGGAATTCCATGCAAGCCATTATGGAGCATTACAACCACCATTAAAAAGAGCAGCAAAACCTTTCCAGCATGAAGCATGTAGCACTTGTAAATTTTATATGGAAAGGCCACAAAGTAATTGTTTTTCATACCATATGGCCATACCATCTAAATTATATATCCCATATGCATATGGTACAATATACATTTCCAGCAACACATATTTTTTAAATGAAAGCATGCGTGCTGAGTGTGTATTCACAATATGTGAAAGTTCTTCATAAAAACCATATACTTAAATTAGGTGTACCATATATGCAGGAGTCCATCCCTCAAATTGTATAATTTTATTTATATAGAACATATATATTGCCCTGGTATGCTTAATATATGAATAATCCTTACATGAATCATATGCTCCAACCATATATGCCTGCATACAGGTATATGTGCATGCATATTTCAATACATGATAAATATATAAAATTATAAGGCACAGATAATTGCATATAACTACCATATATGATCTTTCCGTATGAGATGAAAATCAGTATAAAGATGGTAGAACCAAAGGCATAGCTCACAATGGGAGCATCTCATGAATGTGGCCACATCACATACACTATCACCTATTAAGTTTTAACAGTTCTGTTGAAAGATGTATAATTTCAAAGCAATATTGAAATGGCGTGATATGTGCTTTGGGCCTCTGATCCATGTATCCAGCTTTGAACCGAGCATATTTGATGAAATTTTAAAACTGAGGAGCTGAGAACTGGTTGTGGGTAATTGACTGTAGTGTTAAAATATTATCACCCTGAAAAATATTGACTTCAAGATGATCCATGAGAATATGATCTGAAACTTTGCGTGCAAAGTCTTTCCACATGCGGAAGAAATAAACATCCAACAGCTGGATAATTCCAGTTATTTTTGGTGGAATCTGCATTACAGCCATTGTTCTCCAGTTTAACACCATTAATTGCATCCTGATCTTTGTAGGTGCCCAAGGAATCAACCAGAAGAAAATTGTTTTTTAACAGCTAGGAATGGCACTTCTTTGAAATACCCATCGACAAGAATTTTAGTTATCAGATTAAAAATTAATAGGTGATGACATACGAGGGATTTCTCAAAAGTTCTGCCAGTAGCCCCAAAGAAAAAAAAAATCTAGTGTTCCATGATTAAATTCTGATCTTTATTGCCACAGGCAACTATTTCACACTTTTTCCACATACTCCCCACCGATTTCAATGCATTTTTTCATGTGATGGATCCAACGATCAAAGCACTGTTCAAAATCCTTTCTTTCAAGCCTTTTCAAGGTCCAGCACTTTGCGGCCGCCTCTGATGACGACTTGTGGGCTACTGGCAGAACTTTTGAGAAATCCCTCGTATGTCATGTGGCCACATTCATGAGATACTCCCATTGTGAGCTTCACCTTTGTTTTTCTCATTTTTATATTGACTTTCATTATTGCAATTCATTATTTTTGAAGTTTTGTAAATCAGTCCTTGGGCCACAAGGGCACATAAAATTTTATTTACAGTATAAAATAATTATGTACTGCATTTGTACAAATTTTGGTTCGAATCGGAGCACCACTCTTTGTGAATTTTCCTTGTTAGTCTCCTCCCTGGGTGGAAAAGTAGGAAAGAAAGAAATACAGTGTGATACAAAAGTAGCTATACAACTTCCATGGCTTATACCTCCATTTGCCTTCTTCACAGTACAACAAAAGTGGTATGGAAGCAAAGGTATAAACTTCAAGTTTACATCATACTGTTTGTAGTTCCAATGTTCACCACCAACAGTGCTATTATTGTGGAAACCAGAACAGCCACCACTGCCATCAAATGCTCTAGAACTGAAGGAAAAGATCACTGCAGCTGAAGTCAGTTACACCAGACATGCTGCAATGTGTATGGAATGAGATTGAGTATCGCTGGGGTATTTGCCACATCACTTCCAGTAGTCACATTGAGTTGTGATAATCACTGAATTTGAACTTGAAGTTTATACCTTTGTTTCAATACCACTTTCATTGTGCTGTGAAGAAGGCACATGAAGTTACAGGGTGGGCCAAAAAAATATTAGGTTATCTTTAGCACTTCACAGTGTAATTTCTCAAGAGTTTGAAAATATTGCAATTGCATCTCAATATAGAACATTTACCTAGCTTTCCACTGCTGTCAAAAGATTTAAGATCCATTCCATTGCAGTTATGCACAGAGAAACAGAGATAGCACTTGAAAATTGCACCTTGTAAGATGTGCTCCAGGTGACATCTATGCCTTTGCTTGCACATTCACAATTTTCCCAAGGTGTTGTTCACATTTCCAGCATCACATCTATCTTCATCTAACTGCATGGAAGTTACGCATGAATCTTTTATTCTGTTGACAACATTGGAAAGCTGAATGAATGTTCTATATGGAGGTGCTATGGCAATTTTAGCCAACTCTTTGGGACCAGTGCTGTGGAGTGGCGAAGATAATTTAAGTTTTTCTTGGCCCAACCTGTATAAGCCACAGAAGTTGTATAGCTACTTGTGAATCATGCTGTATATGTACTCACTAAATGAGGATGGTGAGGAAGGAGTGGAAGAATCCTCTTGTTCATTGTCTTCACTCTTTCTCCCAGGGGATTCATCTTCAGATTCAGATTCAGAGGCTTCTCCCATCACAACCACTCCCTGATGAGACATTTTCTACTGCACCAATAAATATATGTTACTTTTCCATCTCTCTGCATGCAAAAGATTCCATGATTGACAGATCCCAATGCATCTTCCAGACAAAGAAGCCAGGATATTTTTGTACAGGGTAGATCAAAAGTTTGTACAATGCTTTAAGTGTTTTTCTCTATCAGACCTTTAGCTTTCCATAAACGGATTGCACCGTTTAAAAGAGTACAAAAAAATGATCTAGAAAAGTTTCCTTTTATTCTATATAGCCCCCATTTGCCTCAACCACACATTTGAGACGCTTTGAAAACTCATCAACCACATTTCACAAGTATTCTTCAGGCATTTCATCCCATATACACTTCAAATGTAGCTTGAGTGAAGCAAGACTTGTCCTCGATTTAGGCATCAGTTGGGACTCCATGTATGACCAGGTACTGTAGACAAGGGGATTAAAATCAGGGGAAGATGCAGGCCAATCTGATGGTGAGAGGAATGATGGAGTATTGTTTTGGAGGAAGGTGAGTCTTTTTTTATTTGTGTCTACGTGCACTGTCTTGTTGGAACACAAAGGGCCAGCTTTTGAAGTGAGTCTTGGACCAGTGAAGAAGAACTTTCTCTAGGACTTCTTGAACATAGTACAGTACTATGTTCAAGAAGTTCTAGAGAAAGTTCTTTTGGTGAAGGATGGTGCAATCCGTTTATGGAAAGCTAAAGGTCTGATAGAGAAAAACACTTTTAACTCATTGTAAGAACTTTTGATCTACCCTGTATGTCCTTCACATGAAAGTGTTTGGTGGTGAGAGTGGAGAGGTGATAATAACACCAGTCTCCTGCCATGGTCCTTGGCAGGGGACCCACTCTCTTATATTTGATCAGTTGCTTCATCTGTCAGTTCCAGAGCTCACAAGCCTCTAGTAGATTATCCACAGTTACTCCCTTTTGTATTTGGGTATGTTTGTAAGGGTAAGATGAGTTTCAAGATCACCCCAGAAAGAAAAGTAGTGAAGTTATGAAACACTCCTTGAGGAGGAAAAACAAAAAAATATCAGTTCAGTTTCTATCACATTGGATCTAACAAGTCTGTCAAAAACTTTAGCAAAAAACTGAGATGGGAGGGATGCATAAGATGTTGTCTGAAATGCTCAAATCTACAGTCTTTCTTGTGAGGCTGGACCCACCCACTGTATTGTTACATCACAAAACTGACATAGTCTATCTCCCACCAAGAAGTGATAGAGGAGATTGACAGGAAACGTCCTCAGGAAAATCTTATCTTCTAAAATATTCCTTTCTAAACAATGTTTCAAGTTTCATTGAATTCACCATGCAAAGATACACAAAATGGCACCACTTTCAAGTTTATCTCACTATCAGTGGATTCATTTGTTTTGTCAAACCTAGCAAATGACCTTTGAGTCAGATAACATGTGTTAAATTTTGCTATTGAATTTTTTTTCCACCTACTCAAGATACATGACATGTCAGAGTGGAAAGTGCCACACATTTTTGAACTATACATGGAACTATTTGATATGAAGCAATCTCAGACCTGGGTATCTCTCAGATTCTGATCCCTATCAAGCTGTCTGAACATAATGTATCATATTCAACCTTTAAAAATTTTGTTCACAAAAAAATCTATTTCCATTTGGTCCTAGTAATTTCAATCAGAACATCTTCATTTCACAACAGAAGTAAGAAGTCTTGTCCATTTGATGTGAAAATTTAAACAAGGGCTGCTGCTGAGGGGATTTCAGGGAAGTTGAGTTCCCATTCAGGGAAGAATGATAAGAAAATCAAAGAAACACCTCTTGGAACAATCACACTCATTTCATAATAATCCAAGTCCTCTTTCTTCTGTCCAACCAAGGGGTTCATTCCTCCACATCTTGTCCTCTCTTGGCAGTACTACAGAATTACAGAGGCAATATAATCACCATGGTCCATCACTCCCTTCAATGTAGAGGTTAGGTCTTCTCATTGTTAAAGACAACAGAATATAATGAAAAATAATGTGGAGAAATATATCGCCATGTCTACATCTGGCAAACATGCAGAAACATGAAACATTGACTTGGCTGGCATCATTCTTACCAAGTCTGACTTTGCTATTTTAACTTGAATTTGTCAGAAATCATGTTAACTGAACACATTATTATGTTCACACCTAGTTACAATACTTGGGACCCAGACCAGCTGCATGCTTCACAGGTGTATAAGGACAGGAGATCTACAAACCAGATGATTCACACTCAGTACTGCACAGTCAGTGTTCTGTGAAGCCATGGACTGAGGGAGCGTGAGATCTGTCAGGAGGAAGCCAAGGATGATGAGAGGGGCATGGCAGCATTGTAATGCTCTCCAAGACCATAGATGAAACGATGATATGTGAGAATAAGGGAGGTTTGAAGGTCATCTCCAAAGATGAGTGTGGGTGCATCCCCCTGGATCACCTCCAGGCGACACTTCAGGGCTCCACTCAGTGCTTGCAACTGTGTCAATATCCACAATGCATCAATGGTCAAGGAATAGATCACAGTTCTATTGTGAAATGTTTTGCTTATTTTTTCAGACATGTTAACCTCTTGCAGAAAAATACACTACAGCCTTAGAACAGGATAAGTAATGGAATGGAATGAGATGCAAAGGCATGACATGCATTCATGCATAGGAAAATTTTAGCTTAAAATGCATGAGTGAAATGTACCACAGCTCCACCTTTCTTGACTGACCCTCATACCTGCAAATGGTGAGTTAGCAATATTTTTCTCTCTTAATTGCCATAGGGAATGCAGCAGAACTTGAAAGCTTTCACAGGGATCTAGAATGCACTTATCACCAGTGGAATCTCCATGGTGAGTCAAAAGTCACTGAACAACTTTGAACAGCTATAACTTGACAAAAAAAACATTAATTGGCAAGCATTAATTTGGTTTTTTGCAAATTAAAGAGCGTGTGCTAATTGATCAAACAACACGAAAAACTTGTATGAAATACTAATAAGGAATGGGATGAATCTACTCAAAATAAAAAGCAACATTAAAAAAATAACACATACAACGGTACAACAGATGCCCCATTCAGAGTGGTTTTCTGTAATTTTAGATGCAACAAACAGCTGTCTGAAAATGCCCAATAAACTTTATTTCAAGGAGTGTCATCATAGTTTGTTTGTTCTAAGTGAAGGAAACCTTTCTGAAGTGAAGGATCACTTTGCAAAGATGTTTGGAGGTCATACAGTAACGTAGTCCACCTTCAAAAAGGATCAATGATTGCTTTGATGCCACCAGTTCAATGGAAGATTTACCTCATTCTTGATGCCTTTGCAGTGGCAAATCAGAGGAGAACATCAAGCTGGTTGCCAACCAAATCACAGACACTAGCAAAATTCACTCACAGGCTGGGGCTCAAAACTGCCCCCAGTCAGTCAACTGTTACCCATATCCTTTGCAAAGATTTGCACTTCAAGTTTGAAGCAACTGAAGAAACTGAAATGACACATCACTGAGAATATTGCTGGCATTGACCTCAACACGTGTGCAACCATCTGCGTTCAGTGACAGTTCCTTCATCAAGTGATCAAGCTTGATATTGCTCAATATCATGACCAGCAATTGTATTCATTTTAATGCCAGAGAAATGAATTATTGTTTTCTCAACATTGCTTTTATGCTAATTAGTGCACACTCTATCATATGCAAAAAACTATATGCAAATTAATGCCTTCCTTGCCAACTTATATCTGTTCAAAGTCATTCTGTGACTTTTGGCTCACCCTGTATAACAAGTGTCTCACCTCAACCTGCCCTCCCCAGGTCTTGGTGTTTTCCAAATTCAGACAGTAGTGATGCACAGGATCTCCCTCTCCCAAATGCTCCTCATCGAGAAGAAAAGGCTGAAATGTTTCCCGATGTTCCCTGATATAGTCTGCAGCCAAGTGACGGAGCTCCTCCACCGTGTGAACCTCATTCAGTTGCACTCTGATGGCATTATACAGGCTGCCCAGCCCATGGAACAAGATAGCACTAGTTTAATAGAAAGAGATTGAATGTGTTTGATTGCCAAGAGTGAGATATGATTTCCTCCACAGACCAGTCACCATCAGACAGAATGTCAACAAGTTGAAGGTTCCTTGCATCAAGTTTGGCCTGGATCTGGGCCATCTCTTGCTTTCGAGGGGTGTCTTCAGCTTCAGCTTCTGCTATGCACCTCTCTCGCTCCAGCTTCTGACCCTCTTTTCTCTCTCTCCTCCTTTGAGCCTTGCTTACTTTCTTCTCTGTTACATGCATGTCATTAACGCCATCCTCAACACTTGTTACCTGAAGCAAAATGGACTCATAACATCATGCCAACCCTATGATTTAAAATGAAAGCTCCAAGTTTACTATTTGCTGAATACATCTGTTGATAAGCAGAACTTACCAGCACTTCTATTATATTCATGGCCTCTCACAATATCTGAACTCCCTAGTTTCCCCACTTCTCAATGCAATAATTTTATCAATAACTTTTACCATTTACATAATCATACTCTTATGATTTTCGTTAATATTGAGAAGGGCCTCTCGGATTCTCTTAGGCTTGTCATGCTCAATTTTCAAAACTTCAGAGACTACACCTACAACAAACTATTACTAAACTCTTACTAAATTTTTAAACAAACTATTACTAAGCTATAACTAAACTACTAAACTCTTACTGAGTCATATCAAGACAGAAAAGGTTCTACCTGCTGTGTTTGGAGTTGCTTCATTTCTTCGGCATGCTTCTTCTCAAGTTCAACCTGAAGAAGAGCAATTTGTGCATTTACATCCTTTTTCTTTTTTTTGTCTGTCTTGTTCGACCCCTTTTTCAGCTTCAAAATCTGGTCTGCAACAAAATGTAACTCACCACATGTATGAACAGGTAATTTTCAAAACAATGTATACTTGTTTGCTTATGATAAATATCTTACATTCATGAATTCAAATTGTACATGGTAACATTTGCTTAAATGTATTAGGGAGTAAAACTGTCAAGAAATCTTGAGAGCAGATGGCAATCTTCATACCTACAGTTTAATCATTTCATTCTCATTTAATAGAGACTCAATAAACTGATCTGAAACTGCAATGTAACTTTGGAAAAGATTGCATTTAATAATTGCACATATCAATTGGATTCAAACTTAACTAAAACCATTAGGAATGTGAATGAAATCAACCATTGTCATGCTTAAAGTTACAGGTCAAGCTAAGCTATAACGTTAGGTCTGACAGACTTTGATTGGCTGCAAGAAAATGGAACAGACCTTGCAGTTTCTTTCTCTCCTGGCGATGCTTCTCCAAAAGTTCATCTTCCTTGGGAATAGTGAGACCTAGACCTTCGCATCGCACTCTTTTCTCCTCGCACTCTCCATTCAATTCGACTCCAGAATGGCCAACAGCAGCCAAGTTATCATCGGATTCAATTCTAGCACGACCTTCCATTGCACAAGGCGTACGCCTATTAGGCCTGTATTGTTTTTAGCCAGCCAACTAGGCTAGGGTAAGAAGGGCGAGGTCATGTAAACTTCCTGCAGATTACAAGGCACGTACGTCTCGTGGCCACAAGGAGGCCGCCATGTAATTTTTTTTCTACGGTTGTGCAGGCGGGTTTGTTTCGCGGATCACCAAGATATGCGGGACCAATACACTTGCTTAAAAGTAAAACTCCCAGCGTCTCAACTAGACAGGTACCAAATCTGACTTCTTAATGTCAGTCTACTGCACCTTAGGTCAGATCAAGTAGTAGTCTGGAAGGATTAGGAGATATTTTGATCCAGAGTGAGTTTTTCTGTGGAGTCCTCCTCGTGCCCTGCTATATATGATGTAATGAGTAAAGGGGGAAGATTCCCCCAGTTCCCACGCTGACGTGACAATAGCTGTCCGCTTTCCCTTTTCACGCCCTCGTCCTGACCCCAGCCCGTTGTCAGTCGGATGTGAGTAATGCTTGGTCGGAGGTGGACGAGTCTTCTGCGGGCAGTGGATAGTGGTCAGCCAGGTACGTAAATCGGCGATAACCAGTCGATAGTGGGCAGTCAGGTCCCATACAGCACATTTTTCATATTGTTTCTCCTTTGGAATTCCATATTCTTTCGTTGATACTTTCCGTCATTGCATGCAATTCCATCAATAAATATTCCTGAGTGTGGAACTCCTTTCCATTTACTTACAGGTCTTTTCATGAAGTACTTCAGTGTAATCCGTGAATCTGGGCGCTAGACATCTGTCCATTCTAAAGAATATCGACAGGTCATGCATTCCTCTCTCAAAGGGTTGTCAGATGGACGCGTCATTCGAGCGGCACTTCCTCGCTGAGCGAGAGGAGGAAGTACGAAACATTATGCAACGCGTGCGGATCATTTTGAAAGGAATACGAAGCACTACGCACTAGAGGCATATTGCAATATGCCTCTAGACAACGAACAAAGACTGCTTTTATTTTTTTTTAAGTTTACAGAGATTCCTATTGCTAACGCTTTCTTACAATTAGTCAAAAGCAGAATCGGAGTCTGCGAATAAACAACTTTTTCCATTTGGTGATTGTGATGGTATGACCAAGTAGATGTTTTTCAAATATGCATAAATCCGACCCAAAGCGAGGAATAAAGTTAAAGTAAGCAGCATTCGAAAGAACACGGAAAGGAGAACCTCTGGATTTTTCTTTTTTTGTGACGATCTAAGTACGCAGACCGGAGAAACGCCAATACGTTCCCCTGAGCACAACAACCTGATGTCACCATTGACAAAAGGTTGAAACGTTGAGACCTGGTTGAAGCTGATAATTTAACGAAGCGGTGTCAACTGTACGATATAGAAGAATTCTGACATAAGCTGCGACAGTGTGACAAAAGAAAGATGGAAAGTCTCGTCCCGCTGGCTGCTTCTCGACCGCTCTTTCTTTTGAAATTGTGTACTTTCCTTTGGAATAATGGAATAGCGTACTGGATCACCTCTACAGAGTGAGCCATAAATATTCATACCACTGGTAAATTTTGTATTATCTCGGTAGGCCCGAAAACAAAGAAAAAATATGTTGTACCCATGTGTGAGCGTCTCTTTGGTGGCCAATCTTGACTGCCTTAGCATGAATCCTTCTCCGACTCAAACAGTTTGCCATTATAAAAAAAACTTGTCTAGCTGACCATGTGGCAGAAATGATCGAAGAACACGAATGGCCCCCTTAAAATAAATAAATTACTGTATGCGAAGTATGTTGGAAGCAGGTGTCCAAAAACGAAATCCAGCGACCTGAATCATTAAAGGTTGGTGCCAAAAGAGTAGTGAAACCGTGTATGTCCAGTGCCATCGACCGGCAGACTCAATGATTGCATGTTTCTGTCAAGAAGAATGGGAACCCATCGAAAATACTGTGAATAATTACTGAGTCCTTGTGTCTCGTTGAGATTCAGTTGATTCCGCGAGAGGTAGTTGGTACAGGAAATAAAAGACTTCGATCTGGTGTGAATATTTATGGCCCACCCTGAACACTGCTCCCCATTCAGGGGCGTAGCAATTGTGCCCTAGATGCAGGTACGGCAGACCAGGAAAAGTCAGACAGTGACGTAAACAAAGGGAGGGGTTGGGGGTTCCAGAGGGTTTGAACTCCCCTAGAGCAGTGATTCCCAAACGGTGTGCCGCCAGTAAGGCTTAGGTGTGACCGCGAGATTTGAGAGTTGACAGAAAAACTAAGCAACTAAAACCAAAATAACTTGAAAACAAGAGGGAACGTCACCTCTCCGTGAAAAACGAGCTGAGGGTTGCACTACCACGCTTCGTATCAAACTGCTGTGTTCAGCGAAGCAAGCACAAGTTTCCCATTGAAAGTAAGTAAATGACTGGGTGTGTCGTGGAAAGTTCGTGTCCTTATGTGTGCCGCAAATAAAAAAAGATTGGGAACCACTGCCCTAGAGGTCTGAAAAGGCCCCCTTCTCCCTCATGATGTAATCCTGTTTCTGCCGCTGTCTCCTCTGAAAATGCAGCTCCATACATGAGTCATCCTAGCATTATCTAACGTCGCACGGTAGCAGGTAGGTAGCAATGAAGTGCAGGAATGCCTCAGTCCGATGCACCCACTTCGGTATGGTGGTATGACCACCAAATGCAATGCAGGCTTTCAACTGATTTAGCATACCATCAGAGAGGGTTAATGAGGCGAGGAGGGCCTTGCGCTACCTACCATTCATCTGAAAGTGGAACCATTTTCTTGGAGATCCATCCTCTACTCCTGTGCAAAATCTGGTAGATGACTCTTTCGTGGCATTGTAAATTCAGCGACGGTCATTGAGATATGCTTTTTCATTGGAGTGTAGATAGGGCCTACCTCATTTTCTGATTTCCTCCCAAAACGGAGAGGTAGGGCTGGAAGTCGGACTTCTTTCTCATCGTATTTCAGTCTATCACGACAAAACACGTCTATTTTTACTACAGTCCCGACGCCTCGGCTCTGGAAAATTAGTTTCGATTTCTCTCCGCGTGATAAAAAAGGATCGTGACAGTACGACTCAACCAAGGTCCATTTTAATACCAGGAATCTGAATTTTAGTTTCAGGGTAATATTCTTGGGGACAGGACTATTCTTTCTCTTTCTGCCCGACAATGTCCATCATGTTCCTCCTAGTTCATATCCTGGTACTTGTTCTACCTTTTCCCAGCCATATAAATCATTTGCTGGATTTTAGACTGTAGCCAGCTAGCATCGATGGCATCGATGAAGCCGAACGAGAAAAAGATGGTGGAGTGACTCCGACATGAATTTGTATCACCAAGAGGTCATTTACAGAATCCTGAACGTTCCTAACCCAGACGAGAGGCCAAATTTCACGGAACATATCAACGAGTCGTTGTATCTGGGTTTGAGTCCTTCATAAGAAAACAAATCAAAATCGCTCATACATTTTGAAAACGTATATATATTAAAGTTCACAGGTTTTGCCATTCGCAGTCTTTCTTCGACACTTATTCAAAAGAAAGCTGATGCGGTCTCCCGTTTCCCGGGCGGGCGTGTGCGCGACTGTCTGCAAAGCCGAGAGAACGAATTATTGCGTAAGTTTCACCAGTCTTCAAGAGCAAAAGAAGACCATAGGTGGATATCCGGTCCAATTTCCAGATGCTAACGGAATGCCTGCACTGCTTTCTCCAAATATCTGCTCTTTCCCTATGGGGGTAGACGGAAAGCATTAGGAGCGGCGAGGCTCTCGTAACCGGGAGACCCTTTCTCAGACGATCGGAATCGCTTTTCGTATCTCTTATCCCAGAAGGTTCATTTCTCTCGCAGTTTCTCTGCCTCATCCCACACGAGGGTCACAGAATCCACTTCAGGAAAGAATATGAGAGATGGAACGGGAATGGAAATCCTGGAACGTGTTTTTTCCGTGCGCCCTTCGCGAATCCCCCATGAAAGGCCGAGAGAAGGTGAAAGGAGAAGAAAAGAACGAAGGAGAGAGGGTGTGAGGATCTGTAGGTGCCCCCGGCAATGAACTTGCAATATTCAAATCGCGTCGGAAAGAGAGAAGGAAGCATATTTTCTCTAGTTGGGTAGCGAGAAAAGGAAGAATAGGTGTGAGACTCTCGCCTCACGCCTTTCCACATGTGGACCGTATCTTTCTCCCGTCTCTCCCAGGTCAGTAACTGATTCTTTTCAGGTGTCTCTTCCATCTCTCGTCGTTATGATATCGAGGATTCATTCGGAACGGTTTTATCGAGAACGTTTTAAGGTCTTCGTACGGCCCCACATCCAGATGGCTTCCAACAGTGCGAATTCGATTAAAGTCTCCCTGCAGTAACATGAAGGCATCGATCGGAACTCTACTCTTGACGAAAACGACTTGCAAAAGCGAAAGTGATGTCAAACGTCAGGAAGTCTAGTTATTTGCCTCTAAGACCTCGATTGAGACCGTAGATTTAACGGTTGGCAGAAACCGTTGCAAAATATTAGAAAGAAAGAACTCGGGTACTAATTACGAGGCATAGCACAACCTTCGGCCTGGTATAATTGGAAACAGCAATATCATGAGTCTTTTGTGAATTTAACATTTGAGCATATGCCGTTTTGTCTCGCTTCATCATGGATTTGACCTTCTGCGCCCAACAACGCGAATGTGATTTCTTACTTCCTGCAAGAAATCTCGAATGTTCCAAGTGAATCGAGTCCAAAAGAGTTGAAGCTCCGGTTCGTTCGATGGCGAGATCGGATTTCCAAGAAAATACCACCGATTAAATGCAGTCGAGCGGATGGAAAGGTGAAGCAGCGGTATGAGCGCGGTCATATCCATGACCTGCCCTTGACGCGTTTCCAGGCCGTTGGACAGAGCGTCCGCGGATCGGAGAAAGCGTTCGGGAGAATTTCGACGTGGGAAGGGAACCATTTCGACTCTCATTCTCACCGGAAGGAGAAGGAGGGGAACGCCACGTTTGGGAAGACAACTGGGAAGAAAATAAATTGGTTTGGGAAGAAAATAAATTGGAGAGTCTCATCGTGGCTACAGGAGGCCTCGTCCCTTCTCCTATCGATTTCCTTCAATTTTACGATCGGATCGTGGATACGAAGGATAAAAAGGGCACCGTCGACATTCTGTAACAGAGTT